CATCTCTTTCAATTTCTTTTATCATTCACTCCCGGCTGCATCTCTTTCAATTTCTTTTATCATTCACTCCCGGCTGCATCTCTTTCAATTTCTTTTATCATTCACTCCCGGCTGCATCTCTTTTAATTTCTTTCATCTTTCACTCCCAGCTGTATCTGGCCCAAGCTGTGGATCGACTGCGCATGCACTCTCTGGCGAACAAACACAGCAGCTTCCGGCTGCGCATGAGCACAAACGACGAAGGGTCGGGCTCTCGACCCCCTAGTCCCCGGAAAGCCCACAGTATGGTGACCACAGTGGAGAAGTTCCGGCAGATGCGACCGAAGCGCCACCAACCGAGAGTTTTCCCACTTCAGGGGAGACAGCTCATAGAGGTAGGCCCAAAAAAGGGGGTGAGGGGTTGGAGGGAGGAAGGGGCGCGGAGGTTTGGAGTTTGTTCGTTGTTTTGTTGTTGCTTGGTTGCTGTTATTTTGTTTGTTTTGTTTTTTATGGGGGTGAGGAGGGAGGGGGAGGGGGGGAATTTACGAGTTGAGGTTTGCAACGGTATTGGAATGTGAAGTAGATATTATAAAACACAACCCGAATATGATGGGACCTACGCTGGTGACAGGTACATCTGATCTGTAATATGTTTAATCGTTTAAAACGTTACGATTTTGCCAAGTCCGAAGAACAAAGAAACCTAAAATGTTATACAAGATGCGGCCTTTTGAAGCTTAAAAAGGTGTAAAAAATTGTTTTTGTTTCGGGGAGGGGGGGTGTGTGATGAGATCGCAATTTCCTCTGAATGGTTCTATACACAACAAATTTTGCAAGTAAACATTGCCCATAATGTTTTTCCTGACTTTGAAGCATGCCTTGGGCAGAGAGTGTTTACAACTGCCTATTAATTTTCAACGACTGGTCATAAGATACCAGCACGCTTAAAAATAATTATTACTTTAAGTAAAACGAATATGTACATTTGGCTTATCTGCTAAAAAGAATATTATAAGAAAGGTCTTTTTACACGCTAATCGACACAATTTAGATCCTGGCTCTACTGTAACTAAATGTAATTAAGACAAATCCTATCGTTATACGATATCATATTTTGCTGTTCAGATGTTTTGGGGACAGTTTTCAAGAAGGTCAAATTATTTTTACCTTCTTTTTTTTTTGGTTTCTAAACGTCGGTGTTTTACAACCCCGTCGATACAATTCCCTTCTCTGCAAAA